CACAGCGTGTAGCGCAGACGTAAAGCCGGTGTGAAGCCCGTGCAGCTTCTTCCGTGCGCCGTGCTCACAAGCTTCGGCTGCAGAGAGGGGGAGCGGGGATCCGGAGCAGCACTGGACGCTCTGCGGGACTGTCTCGAGTGCTTTCGCCTTCTGTATTGCACCTTGTTCTGGGCTAATTGCATCTCTTGCACTTTACTTTTTTAAATCATTTAACATCGAATCCCACAGCGCTACATCCTGTCGTCCTCTTCTCCTTTGCTGGGGCTGGGACTCGGTATCGTGCTGGCGGTGTTAATGCAGGGATTTTTTTCCTGGAAAGGGATGGATGTGGTCTGGATTTCTGTTGGGGAGATCCCTGACAGGAGGAGTTGCCGACAGCTTTATTACTGCTGGGTCCCGCTGCGGGCAGGGACCGTGCCCGAGCGCCTCAGGGACTCGAGCTGCCTCTTGGCCTGGTGACATCTGTGAGTGTGTGGGCTAATGGCAGAAGCCGCATTTCTGGGAAGGTTGATCCAATCTGCTGGAGCTCGCCTGCGGGATGATCACGCAGAGAGCAAACCTGGTTTCTGTTTCCTTTTCGAGTGCCAAGGCAGAGACCTCGGGCTGGCCTTCCCCGCTGCTCGGGAGGGCGTGAACCGACTTCATGTCTGCTTCATCAGTGGGCTGTAGCCCGATCTCCTCCCTCCCAAATCCACGTCTCGGAGCTGTGATTCCCCGGGGATGGTGTTTAGGGTGGGACAAGCTCCTGTAGAAACCTGGACCACCCCCAGCTGGCTGCAGCAAGGGGGTGGGTGGCAAAGGGGCAAGATGGGTGTCCCAGCAGATAGGTGTTCTTGGTGTATGAGTGTCCCAGCCATGGACCCGGCCAAAGAAGCTGTCTCCACCAAAGGGACATGAGGCTCTGTATGGAATCCCCTCTGTGCCCCTTTGAAGACCCACCACTCACAGCAGAAGTCATTGACCACCTTGGAATGACCGTTGCGCAAACCGACTTCATGTCTGCTTCGTCAGTGGGTTGTAGCCCGATCTCCTCCCTCCCAAATCCACATCTCGGAGCTGTGATTCCTCGGGGATGGTGTTTAGGGTGGGACAAGCTCCTGTAGAAACCCTGAGCATCCCCAGCTGGCTGCAGCAAGGAAGTGGGTGGCGAAAGAACAGGCAGATGAGTGTTGTTGGTGGATGGGTGTCCCAGCCATGGACCCGACCAAGGAAGCCCTCTCCACCAAAGTGTGGAAAAACCTGTGTGCTCCTTTGAAGACCCACCTTAAACTCCCAGCAGAAGTCATTGACCGCCTTGGCACCACCGTGGCGAGGGCTGGTTTGGAAAGCCCTTGGCCTCGTAGCAGAGTGTTTCCAGGTAAATTCCGCCAAGGCAAGTGCCTCCTCTAATTATTTCCTGAAAATCAACATTGCAGTCGAATTTCCTGCCTGCGCCGTACCTCTGTGCACCCAGGGTGAGTGCCGGCTCAGCCCAGTGCCACGCAACGTTGACATCTTCAACAGCAAGATCTTCTCTGCAGATGGTGACGGCTGCGCCCGGGGAGTGCGTGCGCCTACTTAATTACCGAGCAAGGAGCGGCACTGCGATCGCTGCGCAGGGCTGACCGATTCTGTGGGTTAGTCACCGTGACAGTGTTGAATTTCATGGTTGGGGTGGAGAAACAGGAGAAATTAAGTGAATGTTAATGGGACAGGATGGGTTTACGTGTTCCTCTCACGTGGGGCGTCGCTGAGGCTTGAGCGGTGCCCCCCGAGGACACCTTTCCCAGCGTGAGAAAGCAAGCAGAGGATTCAGATAAAGTCTGCTCCGTTCCTGGCGTGAAAGCTCACATTGCACGGGGTGAGAAAAGTGCTCGCAAGTGGGTGGGAGTCATAGGGAGCTGCTCTTCGGGAGGGTCAGGGTTGGGCTGCGCCCGCTGCCAGGGCCCTGGCTCCTGCCTGGGCTCTGCCGCTTCCTCCCAGGAGCAGGAACCCAGGCGGAGATGCTGTTTCTGTGGGCCAGACAATTTTCGTGTCATACCACGTTACGAAGGTAGTCAAACTAATTAGAGAAATCATAGAATGGTTTGGGTTGGAAGGGACCTTAAAGATCGTCTGATTCCAACCCCCCACCATGAGCAGGGACATCTTCCACCAGCCCAGGTTGCTCAAAGCCCCGTCCAGCCGGGCCTTGAACCCTTCCAGGGAGGGGGCAGCCACAGCTTCTCTGGCCAACGATTACCCAGATGTTCTCCAAGCAAGCCTGGGCTAGGTGGGGCAACCATCGCTGCCTTGTTTTCCTTTCATTTGATATTACTGATTTCGACTGGGGGGTGGCATTTATAGCAGCCCCCGGCTTGGAGGGGGTTGATGCCTGGGCGTAGCGTGCGGGAGCTGATTCCCACCCAGACGCTGTCAGATGCGGAGGCCGACGGGGGCAGTGGGGTGGTGGCACCTTGGGTGGTGGCATCACTGGGGGGGTTTCGGCAAGGCTGTGCCCCTCCGGTGGATGCACTGAAGCGATGAGATGTCAGCTCATTAGGTAAAGCTGCAAACAGGAGGGGCTGAGGGGGTTTGTTAATTGTTCTGGCTGTGAGAGGAGCCCAGCACGGAGCAGGTCCCGTTACTGCTCGGGGGCCGGATCGGGTGGAAGGAGGTGGAAGCTCCAGTAACGGGGGG